ATTTGTCTTCCTTTGAACGAGCGGCAGCACTGGAAACGCGTCTGGGAGGCAGGAGTGGGGGGGGTTGGATTTGGGGGGATGGATGCACCGGCCCGGGGTGCGCGAGTGGGACTCGGGAGCAGGGATGGGCTTTGGCCCCGCATTTCTGGGTCTGAATAACGACAGTGGGTGTTTGGGGAGCAGCTGAGGTGGGTGACAGCCTGGGGCGAGGTGCGGTGGGTGCCCGGGGAGCCGCGAGCGCCGGGGCGAGGGCTCGGGTGGAGCAGGGCTCGCCATGCTGCCGCTCCCCAAGTCTGGTGGCTTCCTACAAATCCGACCCCACAAAAGCACTGCGGATCAGCTGAAAACCTTGTTTTCCTTGCCGAGTCCCTTCCCCCGCTGTAACAAACATTTTGGTATGCATATCCCTCAGTTCGCAGGGCTGTTTTCTTTGTTTAGATGAGTTTAACTAAAGTAATATCGAAATACTCTTTCAAAAAAGAAACTGAAGCGCTTCCCTCTGAAAATGGCAAAATGCTTCATTCGGATTCCCCCAAACTCCCCCAAACCCATTTTTTCTTTCCCCCAGCCCAAACTTATTTGTCGAACTCGGCACAAAGCCCTGAACGGTTTTGTTTGCTGCAGAACCACGTTGCGGGGAAGCGATGGCTTCAGCCAGAAAGCGGGCGGGGGCGCGGCGGCAGCACCCCACCGCTGCCCCCCTTCTCCCCTTTTGCACCAGATTGTCTCCCGTGGCCGTGGGTTTGCCTGCCCGCGGCGCGGTGCGGGTGTACGGCGCGGTGCGGGTATGTGTCGCGGTGCTGCCATCCAGCACCCCAGGGCCGGGGCCCGGCGTTACGCAGGAGCCTGGAGTTTCGGATAAACTCATCCTGAACAGCGGACGCCTCCAGCCACGCTCGGTGGTGGCTGCGCCGTGGGGCTGCCGGGTGTTGGCGTGGGCTGTGTGTGCTGCCGGTTGTGAAGCAGCCGGTGGTGAAAGCACATGTTTCAGCCGAACAAGAAAGTTACAGAAAGGGGGAACCTCCATGCTTTGTGAGCTGTAGGTGGGTGGCATGAAAAGGAGGCAAAAAAAGAGCGCATTTCCCTGCTGGTCTGAGTAAATGTTTAATCCCCAGCTCGGAGAAAAAGCAGCTCAAAAGTGCTTTTTTTCTCAGCAAGCCTGAACCAGTCAGCCTGGTGCCTCCTCCCTCCGGCTCACACCCTCCCTCCCACCGCTCCGGAGGAATATCCCAGCCTGCTCCAAGGTGCAGCTGGGCACCCGGGGCAGAGGGAGCCAGGCCGGAGCGGTGTCCGCACCCACCAGCCGGGAGTTTGCCGGGCGCCTCGCAGGCGGGCGCCTGGTGCAGGCAGCGCTGGCTCCCACGCTCTCGCGTGCCCGCGCTGCTCCAGCGGCTGAAGTGCCCGGGATGGGGTCCCCGCACTGGAAACGGCTCTGCCTTTTACTCCTGGCAGGCTTAACATCCTTCCTGCTCCTCTACGGTCACTACTACACCTCGGTGGAGTCGCCCACCAGCCAGAGGATCATAGCCAGGTAAGGGGGACGGGGAGCGGGGTGGGAGGCAGGGATGTGCAAATCCAGCGGGGGTACCACGCACTGGGATGGGGGGGGGAACGGGGGTGCGGGCCCCTCAGTGCAGGTTAGCCCAGCTGTGCCCCAGCTGTTGGCCGGTTTCAGGAATGTGCTCGCAGCGGGCTCGGCCCCCCCGAGGCGTCCCGGGCACCGGGTCCTGCCCACGGCCGCCAGCCGAGCCCAGGGGTGCCCAGAGCAAGACCCCGGGGCCGTGGGGGGCTGCAGGGGTCCCCGCATGGGTTCAGCACATCACAGTGCAAAGAAACTGTTGCTGGGTCCAGGGACAGCTGAGGGTGCTCAGCCCCCAGCAGGATCAAACCCCCTTCAGCAGCCAGCCAGACCCTCTGCGAGCCCCGCGTGTCCCCGCTGGGCTGATTCAGGATCGGAGCTGGCTGATTGTGCTGGGGGGAGGTTTGGCCCCCGCGGAGCTGTACTGGTCCCCCCAGTGCAGGGGCAGGGGCTCGGGTCCCCAGGGCTGCTCCCCTGCTGCTTGCAAACTCCCAGAGGCTGCAGCATTTCCCAAACTCCAGCGATTTGCATCTTCCCCTTTGCAGTCACGTCTGCCTTCCCTGCATCCTCCGCCCTCCCCAAGCCCCTTCCTGAGTGTCTCCCAGGCAGGCGAGGGTGCTGGGGACCCCCAGGGAGCCCCGGGGAGCACGGCTGAGCTGGCAAGGTGGTAGGGAGCCCGCACAGTGCTTGGCCTGCAGGACCAGCCGCCCTCCTCTCCTGCGAGGATCAGGAGAGTGCTACGGGTGTCCCTCGCCTCCACGCTGGGTGCTCTCGGGTGCCGTTGGTGCGACAGAGCCCAGGTGCCTGTGTGCTGCCCGGGAGCGGAGGATGCTGTGGGGACCGGAGCCGGTCCCGCACGGGGTGAGCTGAGTGCAGCCAGGTTTGCACTGGGAGTTGCTGGGGATGCGGCTGGCTGGGCTGCCCGGACACTCTCACCTCCCCAGCTGGGAGCTGGGGGCCCTCCTTGCCCCCTCCTGTCCTGCCCAGGGCAGAGATCCCATCTCCTGCTGGGCTTGCGAAGCAGAAGTATCCCCAGCAGCCTGGGCAGCGGTGCCGGTGGCAGCAGCGTTGGCCCACGCTGCACAGTGCTCGGGGCAGGTCGCGGCTGGGGTGCGGAGCAGTTCCCTGCAAAGAGCTTGATGTCTGTGAGAGGGGAAACTGAGGCCCACGAGGGCAGCAGGACGTGCCCAAGGACCGTGCTGGAGCGGGGAATGGAAACCAGCCATGCCCTGGCACAGGGTCCGTGGCCCATCCCGGGAGCAGGGTGTGGAGGAGACCGATGGGATGGGAGCCAGGAGGGGGTTCCCCCCAGCACGTAGCAGGCCGCAGGTAACTCAGCCGCTGCCTAACCCTGCCTGGACCTGCCCGAACCCCGCGTCCCCCCGCTGCAGAGCCAGCCTGGGCCCCTGCCCTGTGACCAGTGGGACCGAGGGCCGGCTCGTCCAGCCCCAGAGAGGAGCCCAGGGCAAGGTAACGGGGAGCTGACCTGTGCTCCAAAGCTCTCTTGGGCTTTTCCTCTTGGCTTTAATCCAACCACTAAAGCTAGACCTAATCCAGAGCGAGTCCTGTCCTCTCCCATTCCCTGTGTTCACAAACACGCCGCCCCGTGATCGCTGCTTGTCCAGCCTGAACTGCGCACCCGGAGGAATCGGCGCTGCCCTGCCGATGGTGGGGGCAGCGTCCGGAGGTGAAACCGGGACGGCCGGTGTTTGGCACGGCTGACGCGCCATTGCAGAGCGCACGCTTCCCGCTCTCCCTGCCGCCGGGGCAGAAGGGGAGAGTCAGGGTGCTCACGCCTCGGTGCAGGCAGCCACGTTTCGGCGGGGAGGTTTGTGTGAGCACCGTCTCCATGCAGACTTACGGGTGGATGAAGGGGGTCGGGAGGAAGCTGACCCCCCCGTTGATGCTGGCTGCTGCCAGCACCAAATCACCCGAGGGCCAGATACCCACGGCAATGCCAAGTGCCCCTCCAGTTCAGCACAAAGCTGGTGGCAGCGCTGAGGCCCCTATGGAGATGGGTGAAATGCCCCCGTCCCCACAGAGCCGGCCACCCTGCGGTCAGCGGGGCTGCAGGGAGCCGAATCCTGGAGCCCCCGGGTTCGGCTGGGCACAGCCCCGTCCCGCTCCCTGACCGGCCATCTCTGAAACCCCGTGGGCGAGCTGCCGGCACTGCTTGTGGCTTTATTATTAGGGCAGACGGGATGAGCGCGGAGCTCTGCCCAGCCTCGCTGCTCCACTCTGGCTCCACGCCGGGGGAAGATGCTTTCTGGAGCTCGGCCCTTTGTGGTGGGATGGAGCAAACGCTTTCCGAGAGCGTGTTTGTGTTGCTGCTTCGGCTCCCTCAAACAGCTCTGCAGGGCCCTGAGAGTGTTTGCTGAAGATAAGGCCGGAGTGTGTGCTCACAAGACTCATACACGGTGTTATCTTCTGGCAACGGGGGTGGCCACGCACCAGAGACGTCATATTTGTGAATGCTACAACACTGAGAGTGCGTACCCAGGCTTGGCTGGCTCCGCTGCCATAGCCAGTGCCCGGGCAGCCACGGGCCACTCCTTCCCCGGAGCCCCATTGTGCATCAGCCGGTCCTGGGGAGGGTTGTCATCTTCTGAGTCAACCAAGCATCACGAGGTGCTTCGCCACATCCTGGCGGGTGACGTCAAAGCGTTTGGCTCCCCAACGCGCTGCTGAGCTGCCATCTGGCAGGGGGGCCTGGCCGCCCCACGCCCTCCCCGGCAGGGTTTGGGCAGCGGCCGCAGCCAGGACGGCTGCCACGATGCTGGGGAGATGGCTCCAGCGCCCACAGCTGGGGTGTGAGTGCAGGGAGGTGCTGGCACGGGGACTGGATTTATCAGGTCGGCACAAGTCTTGGAAGAAGCGATGAGCAAGTGCCATGCACCGTGTCTGGCCACGGGTGGAGGTGGCTCCCAGCTCCCATCAGACGTCAGCAGGAGCCAACCTGCGGGGCCGCCTGCGCCCACCTCCCACCAGCCAGCCCGAGCCCAGCGGGCCTGAGCCCCCTGCGCTGCGCTGGGCGCTCCCCCAGCGTCCCTGGCAGTTCAGAAAGCAGCACAGCACCCGCCCGCTGCCAGCGCCTGGGTCCGTGCCTCGTCCTGCAGGCACGGGGTGAGCCAGGGAAGGGGAAGGGAAGGATCTGTACCGAGAAACAAGAGTGGGAGAGCTCGGAGGGCTGGGGAGGGGCTGGATGGGCAGAGATGTGCAGCTGGGGCTCGCCAGCCTGACGGGGAAGGGCTGGGGAGGCAGCGGGGCTGGGAGAGGCTGTCTGCGTGGGGCTCCTGGGCAGCAGGAGCCTGGGCACAGCGTGAAGGTAATGGCTTTTGGCCTTTGGTGGTGGGTTGCGTCTCTGCGGCCAGAAAAAGGGCGGGTGGCCAAACCTGGGGGCTTTGGGTGCAGGGGGGTGCACTGCTCCGGGGAGCTCAGTGCTTTGCGGGAGCTGGTTCTGGCTCTGGGTTTGGAGCAGGGAGGTTTCTTCAGTCCCTGGTCCGCTGTTCAGGTGCTGGTGGCGTCGATAAGCTCCTGCTCGTGAGGTGCACGGGCTGGGGTCTCCTGCGTCGCGAGGTGGAGGAAGCCAGCGGGGCCGGGGCTCCGCAAGCCGAGGGAACAGGCAAGCTTGGTCAGGCTGGGTTTATTTAGGTGCTCGCAGTGATAACAGCAGAAAGGCCCTGCAGAAAGCTGCAGCTCCGGCATCTCCCTGGCAGGGCTCAGTCCCATCTTGGTGGAGCCTCCCCGGGATTTGCCCTCCCTCCTCTCCGCCATCCCGGGGTGAGCCTCAGGGATGAGCTGGTGGCTGTGAGGGGAGGTGGGGCAGCGCCGTGCCCGGCTCTGGGGCCAGCACCCCTGTGCGGTGCGCGGCAGGACGGCTCTCTGCGGGTGTTTGGAGGGCAGGCCGTGGCCGTGGCACAGGGCTAAGCCACGGACCTTGCCCCCAGGCTGGACCGTGTGTGCGTTTTGAACGGTGGGGGCTCTGCAGGGCAGCAGCCCTTGCTGGGAAGCTGCCTTTTTATGGGACACCGAGGCAAGATGTGCTGGCTTGATTTAAAAAGCCGCCCCGCTCCACTGGCAGCGCTCAGCCTCCCGTGCAGCGGGGACGCCTTCGCCCTCGGCATCCCCTGCCCGGAGCTGGCGGTGCTGGGACAGAGCAAGGAGGGAGCTGGGACGAAAGCCCGCGTGGCCCTGGCTCCCCATCCATGCCTAGGGAGATGCTCCAGCCCCCGGTGCCAGCACCCAGGCAAGGCGCTGGTCTGTCCCCCCATGTCATGCCGTACCCCTGGGGTGGCACGGAGCAGGGTCTGGGTGGCAAACGGGTCTGGATCCGCTCCTGGGCAGGGCTGTCGGCACTGCTGGTGTTGACAAGGGCTGTGGCAGGGAAAGAAACCCAATGCCTGCTGTGCCGGGCAGCGGCGCGCCGGCGGGGGCTGGGGGGGGGGGGGAGGCAGCCCCCCCCCCCCCCCCCCCCTGCCTCTACCTGTCCCCGGGCTCCCAAGCAGAGATCCCGTAACAAGGGGGCCCTTGTCCCCTCCACAATACCCCCCTTCTGGCCTGAGCACCTGCCGGCTGGGCTGGAGGCGGCGCCGGGGGGCTCTGAAGGGCCCTTCTGTGCGGGGATGAATGGGAGCCTGTTCCCCTCCGGTGGGCTCCCACCTCCTGCTCGCCAGGCTGCGACCCTGCCCGGCCCCCAGCCCCACACCCCCCCGGGAGGCCGGGTCTGCTCTGCCTGGCCCCCGGGGCTCAGGGCACCCCCAGATGCTCGGGGTGGGAAGCCCTCTGCCTCCGTCCCCCAGCGCTACGTGAAGGATCAGGGCATGCCCCAGCTGGCCCCGTGGCAGAGGGGGCCCTGTACACCCCAAGAGCCTCCTGATCCCGATTGCCAACTGCTTCTCCAGCGTAGCAACTAAATGTGTCCTGCTGGCCTGCCCAGCTTGTCCCAGCCCCGTCCTCAGGCTCGGGAAGGGTGGATGGTGGGAAGAGCCGGGGAGGTCTCGCAGGGTCCTCCCAAGGCTGCAGGCTGGGCTGGGTGCGGTTTTTGGTACGTGGGGGTCCTGGAGCTGGGACCCACCAGGAGATGGTGGCTGCTTTCTGCATAAAGCCAGTGTTTTGCAAATCCCTGGTACTCCGTTTGCAGAAACGCGCGCAGACGGGGGTGGGTGGGCGCAGGCAGTGGTGAAGGGGAGCCGAGCGCAGGTGACGTGGCGCTGCCCCGTGGCTCTCGCGGGTGGGGGGTGTCAGGTGCAGTGGTTCAGTGTCACCTCCCCGGCTGAGCCCCCGCTGGCTTCTTCTCCCAGCCTGCTGCAGCCGGAGCCGCTGGTCCTGGCTCCACCGGGGACATCGCGCCGAGCCGGCAGCCACAGATGGGCCCTTGAAGGCACCTTAGAGAGGTAAGGGGGGAAGGTGTGCGCAGCGGCCCTGGCATGAACTGGGAGCCCCCTGCCCGCTCTGGGGAATCCCCAGTGCCCCAGTGATGGATTTCGAACTCTGCTGTGTGTTTCCCCCTTTCCAGTGGGAAGTCCTTCAAGCTTTCTGCCGAGCTGGAGGAGCCCAAGCCCAGCAGAAAGCAGGTAATCATCCGCACAGTACGGTTAGTGTCCCCCGTGCCACTCCTTGCTGGGTTTTGTTGGTTGAAGGCCTGTGTGGGGAAGCCGAGGAGGAGCAGCATCGTCTGGAAGGGTTTTGTGTGTGTGTGCGGAGGAGCAGCCTCCTCCGTCCATGCCCGTGGGTCTCCCCAGGCCTCCCTGCCGCGCCTGCAGCACCTCCTCGAGCAGTTTCCCGATGCGGAGGCTGGAGCCACCGTCACCCGCTCCCTCCAACCCTGTGACGCCCGGGCCACCAGCCCGGGGACTCGTGAGGATGGACCCAGGCTCTGGGAGAGACTGGTCCTGGGCACTGGGGCTGTTCTCATATAGCAAAGGCCTTTAGCAGAGTGCCCACACGAGAAGGTGCTGAATCTTTTGCGGGGCTCATGGTGACTCTGTGAGCCCTGGTCCTCCCGGCCCCGGTGAGCTGGGCACCAAAGGACGTTTTGCGTCAGGAAACCGAGGCAGTGCCCTGCCTGGGCGACCCAGCAGAACGGGATGGACAAGGAGCATTTCTGTCCCTGGGCTT